ATCTGGCATTTGTGTCACGCTCTTGAGTGCCCAGTCGATATGCCCGGACAAATTGGAAATTGGTATTCAGTCCGTGGCCCACGCGACAGCCAGACGGATTTGCGAAGGAGCACCTTAGGCTAAAGCTATACCGGTCCTCTCGCACGGAGGGACAGACAAGGATGACCCGTGTGGATCCGTTAAAGTTGGTCAAATCGTTTCCCAATGATCACCTCGCACCGGAATACTAAAGACTGACGAGAGCGTACGTTGCCAAACGTTCTTCTGATTGATCCTTAAATGGGAAAATGCTGCGAAGGATTTTTTTAGTCAAATTTTGTTTGGACGTTGGAAGACGTTTAAGTAAAGACGTTTGACTAAAGACATTTGATGTTGTGAATGTCTGAAGACATTTGACTAAAGACATTTTACTAAAGACATTTGACTAAAGACATTTGACTAAAGACATTTGACTAAAGACATTTGACTAAAGACATTTCACTAAAGACATTTGACTAAAAACATTTGAGTAAAGACATTTGACATTGTGAATGTCCGAAGACATTTGACTAAAGACATTTGATATTGTGAATGTCAGAAAACATTTGACTAAAGACATTTGACATAGTGAATGTCGGAAGACAATTAACTAAAGACATTTGACTAAAGACGTTTGACTAAAGACATTTGATATTGTGAATGTCAGAAGACATTTGACTAAATGAAGAAAAATTTTGTCATTCAATTTTGGGTTTCTAAATAAAACGAAGTTCGTAATTGTCAAGGTGTTGTATTATGTTTAATGAGTCTAGTAGGAGGAACGACAACTAACAGCCTTCCTCTAACCATTTTCCCAAGAAGAAATATTCTTCAGACTAAGGACGAATATGTCTAGTACGAGGAAGGACAACTAACTACCTTCCTTTAATCATTTTCCCAAAGAGGAATATTCCTCAGCCTAAGGACGAATGAGTCTAGTACGAGGAACGACAACTGTCTTCCTTTAACAATTTTCCCAAAAAGGAAAACTCCTCAACCTAAGAACGACTGTGTACCAGGTGTGGTAGTATTAGGAACAGCAACTAACTGCCTTCCTTTAACAGTTTTCCCAAAAAGAAAAACTCCTCCCAAGAACAAACATAACCCCTATGAAAGTGGTCCCTTAGTCCCACTAATAAACTTGACAGGCCTTCCTCTAATAACCTTCCTCTAATAAACATGACAGGCCTTCCTCTAATAACCTCCCTCAAATAAACTCGACATAGGCCCTACAAGACCCAACTAAAAAACCCAACCATCTCCAAAGAAACCTTCCACCCCCTACAGTTAATGTCCGCCATTTGAGAAACGTTTCGAAAACGATTTAGCCCGAGGATACACTGTTCCCATCGGCGTAACCTAGTTTGCGAAGTCGTTTATGCATATCTCACGCAATTTTCTTACGGTTTCGGTCGTGTTAAAATATGTATGGAATCGAGTTAAGCCAGCATGCAGTCCGGCGGACGAGGAAGCCGCGGAAGCTGTTACCGAGCCATTTGCATGGCATCACCGCGATTTCGTTAAAACAACCAAAACCCCCCTCTTTACTCCTTCGTGTTTCTCCCTATCTATCTCGCGTCCCTCGCACGGGACAAACTCGATTTACCACTGTGGTAATCTAAATACACGGTGTTCCATTACGCGGAGCTGTGTCGCGGGATGTTTCGATTGTTCATATCGATGCTTTTCATTTTTACTGTTTCGAGGGAATAATTGCCTGGGATCGATTTTATGGGGGTTTGTGATTTTAGGTAATATGAAATTGCGTGGGGTAGAAAGAGGTATTATTGTAGCAATTGCTAGTGTGTCTATTATAAATGTATAAATATATATGTGTAGGGATTATTAACCTCTTGCAAGTACAATTTATTTGATGAGTCAGTCAAAACTAACTATTCTTAGCTGTAACAAACAAAGAAAATTAAAATGTGAATATTTTCTATTAAGCCATCTTTAATTTATGCAAACAAAGAAAATTAAAATATGAATATTTTCTATTAAGCCATCTTTAATTATGTAAACAAAGAAAATTAAAATATGAATATTTTCTATTCAGCCATCCTGAATTATGCAAACAAAGAAAATTAAAATGTGAATATTTTCTATTCAGCCATCCTTAATTATGCAAATAAAGAAAATTAAAAGGTGAATATTTTCTATTAAGCCATCTTTAATTATGCAGACAAAGAAAATTAAAATATGAATATTTTCTATTAAGCCATCTTTAATTTATGCAAGCAAAGAAAATTAAAATGTGAATATTTTCTATCAAGCCATCTTTAATTTATGCAAGCAAAGAAAATTAAAATGTGAATATTTTCTATTAAGCCATCTTTAATTTATGCAAACAAAGAAAATTAAAATGTGAATATTTTCTATCAAGCCATCTTTAATTATGCAAGCAAAGAAAATTAAAATGTGAATATTTTCTATTCAGCCATCCTTAATTATGCAAGCAAAGAAAATTAAAATGTGAATATTTTCTATCAAGCCATCTTTAATTTATGCAAGCAAAGAAAATTAAAATGTGAATATTTTCTATTCAGCCACCCTTAATTATGCAAATTATTGTTGGACCAAATTTCAAGTTGAAAAGTATTGAAAATTAGAGTAAGGTTTCTAACATTTGAATTGTAAGAGCGTCAAGAGCGAGACTCGTCAGAGTACATCAAGGGGTTAATACTAATACAGCAGTTACTGATGTACCAGTTATACTAGCAACTAAGATATCAATTATCATGCTAGCAACTGTTAATGCACCAATTATTATAATAACACCAGTGCACTAATAAAGATGTAACATCAACCTCAAAATGCTAATACCAATATAAGCATCAACCCTTTGAATCTGCTTATCTCAAAAAATATTCCAAATCACAAAATAAAACCACCAACCCCAAATATTTTAAACTTGTAAAGTAATTGCAGTCGATGCATCCACACATTCCTCTTACATAATTACCCCAATTTTTGCTTTTAATAAATAAGTGTTGATGCAAAACTTGCGTCCCTAAAGGGATTTCATCCCTCTCGGGATGAAAAGGTAGAGTAAACTCGAATCGAAAGATCAGCTAAGTGCAATCGCGACAGAACCGATCTCCACTTGCAATATTTCCCGTTTCTGGAGAGACATATGCACGCTAGGCGAAAGGAAGCACCGTGGACACCCTCTTTTTCAGAGGCATCATGCCAAAAGTTACGAGCCTCGTGAAACGACGAAGAGGGGAACGAATCTTTTGCGGAAGAGAACCAACAGGGATGAAAAATTGGCGCCGGCAGACTTTTGTTTCCGAAGAAGCATAAAAATCGTTTCTCTTCGCTGACTGCCCGTATTACGCCATCCCTCTGTAGACAGTTTTATGTGTCTCACATTAATTTGCATAATCGAATAGAGGAATCTGAATAACGTCAGAGCTTGAGTGTTGCAAAATAAAATCGTCCCTTAATTTTAAAATTCTTGTGAGGGTGCGGCGATTTCCCAATCGTGGTTTTAGCAAACATTGGGAAATTTGTAGAAATGTATGTTTGATTGCTGTTGATTTTTGGGAATTGGGAAATTTAGTTTCAGTCGAATAGGGGGTTGGTTTAATGATGGTTGATAAAGTGGATTGCGATGGTAGGAATCTACTGTATCGTCGAAAGTTTTAGTTATTGAGACCTCTGGCGAGGGAAAACGTCGAAAAATACCGTCATGTTACAATTTCGACTAAATTTTATATAAACTACATCTTTGAACCCATAAAATGTATTGTAAACAGTATACAATCAATATTGATAAATATATATCGTATTAATTAATAAAATTAATATTAATTGAGCGTTCGCGGAAATAGAGAAAGTGGCGCCATCTCTCCGGCGAACAAGGTGAACTACATGGTTTTGAAACTGGCGCTTCGTTAGTTCCTCGCGCTGCCACCAGATGGCGTTTTTAAGTGGCGCCATCTCTCAGGCGAACAGGGTGAACTACACGGTTTTGAAACGGGAGGTTCGTTAGTTCATCGCGCTGCCACCAGATGGCGTTTTTAAGTGGCGCCATCTCTCCGGCGAACAGGGTGAACTACACGGTTTTGGAACTGGTGGTTCATTAGTTCCTTGCGCTGCCAGCAGATGGTGTTCTAAGTGACGCCCTCAAGTGGTAGAAGATGAGAACTAATTAAACTACAGTTTGAAAAGTGTGTAGTTCACCCTGTTGGCCGGAGCCAACCGGAGAGATGGCGCCATTAGTTCAATTTTTTAAAAAAGCAATTAATATTGATTTTCTTGATTAATATGATGTATATACTTATATTATACTTATTAATATTGATTTTATACTGTTTTTAATACATTCTGAAGATCTGAAGATGTGGATTATATGTTCAGAACAGATTACACCCTATACTGTACTTCGTCGATGAAACAGGAAGTGACGTAAGAATGGCAATACATCTTTCAAGTTGTCAAAAATTATTCCCACAGATATCCTTTGAAAAAAGGAGCTTATTCCATTACATTCGCTCAGCAATCCAGCTACGCGGTTTATAAAATTTAACATCGATGTTGGGAATGAATACTACCTTTATATTTTCTTTAAAACCTAGCCTCCCCTTAAATTCTAAGTCTCCTTAAAAATCATGACTTAACGCCACCAAGAAGTACTCTAAAACTTACACCCTTAAAACTCACCTAAAATTAAAAAATTTGCAAAGTTTTTAATATATGAACCATGTGTGAATATGACGCAAACTGTGCTCAATATTGAAAATAAATTTAAAAGATTCATAGAAGATGACATTATCAAACGACCTTCAATAAAAATCTTTTTTTACTGTAAAATCAATATCCTACCTCGGATTAAAATTAGTACATAAAAATATTCTGTAAGTTAGTTATAAAAGTTCTCCCCAATATTTCAAAATACATATTCAATTGTCTATCTTTGTATCACAAAAATAATTATTTCAAAGAAAAAAGAAATGTATGTAAAAGAATATCTGAAACAACTTCCGGTTAGAATCGACTTATCTAATTATTATCGTGACTTTAAAAAAAGATGAGTGTTCTTTGATACATTCTCACAGCATCTCCTCTTTCACTGGTTGGACACTGAAGTTAGAAATAAATTGTACGCGTCTATTTTTGAACTCCCTCCCTAGAACAAAATCATGACCGCACATACTGATCGTGGCTAAAGCAGACTCGACACTTTTTTTTCTTCTTTTGTTTTCACGAGCCGCACTAAGTTGTAGTATTCCAACACGCAAGTACTGATAGTCAGAACGCAAGAATTTTTCAATGAAAACACAGTGAGTGATCGTGATCACAGTGAGCGATTATAATGGAATTATAATGGAATACAGGTAAGGGAACGTTGTAGATTAATATTCGCTGTTATTACTTATTTTATCTCTACCGGCTTCAAGGTTTATTAATGAATTAAATTTGGAACTTATCAAAGATCGATTTTCGAGAACGATTATGCGATTTGGGAGCGACGAATAGTCGATAAAATACAGTATTGATATCGCTGTATCTGTCAAATTTTAGATGTGTGAGGTTATTTACTTTCATTCTTATTTGCAGAATTTTCTCTGAACCTATGATGGGTACACGGCAAATGCGTGTAACAATTTCACTGTTCCTTATTGCCACAACCTTTGGATTCTATTCATTTGCAAATGCTGCATCTGCACATATTCATACCCATGTACATAACAAACCTACCCATGAAAGGACAGAAGACGGTGCATATAGTCCACGGGATGTAAATCATTATGCAGGAGGAGAACATGATCAGGAGTTTGATCATGAAGCTATTCTTGGTATTCTTCAACATACATTAACATTTTACTATCCATTGACATCTACTTGATTTTGATGTTTAACTATTTACACTGCTATTATTTACCTTACTTCATTTATTTTATCATGTACCATGTGTTCCCTATTTTATTGTGTCATTATCTTTTATAGGAAGCGCGAAAGAAGCACAAGAGTTTGACAAACTTCCAATGCAAGAATCAAAAAGGCGCTTAGGAATATTGTTGAAGAAAATGGACTTGAATAATGATAAGTTCATTGAAAGGAATGAATTAAAAGCTTGGATTTTACGTTCCTTTAGGTACAGATAATTTAAACATTGTTAATTTGTTTGAAAGGCAAGTGAACACTAATTTATTTTGTAAATAGCATGCTTTCTGAAGAAGAATCGCAAGATCGATTAGAAGATGCTGACACTGATGAAGATGGTAAAGTTAGCTGGAATGAAATTCTACAAGATACATATGGCACAGATGCAGAAGACTTAGCCATGGATGACAAGCTAATAAATGATGATAAGCAAACATTTGATGCTGCTGATATGGACAAAAATGGTTATCTGGATGCAGAAGAATTCAAAGCCTACACACATCCTGAAGAAACACCTAGAATGTTTCCACTTTTATTAAGGCAAGCTTTGGATGATAAAGATAATGATAAAGATGGATTTATTAGCTTCCAAGAATTTATTGGAAATAGAGGCAAGGCAGAAGATAAGGAGTGGTTACTAATAGAGAAAGATAAATTCGATTATGAACATGATAAAAATGGAGATGGTAGACTAGATTCAGATGAAATACTTTCTTGGCTAGTACCAAGCAACGAGTAAGCATATTCTAATGTATAATTTTTTGTGATCAATAACTTTAAGACATTATATAACCATATATTACTATTTCAGGGAAATTGCAAGTGACGAGGTAGACCATTTGTTCGCTGCATCCGACGATGATCATGATAACAGGTTATCATTCGATGAGATTTTAGATCATCATGACACTTTTGTAGGCAGCGAAGCAACTGACTATGGTGATCATTTACAAGATATTGAACGTTTTACTGACGAACTTTGAGAATAAATTAGCACAAATTTTATCTCTTTTCGTAATTCCTATGATAATCTTATACATGACTGAAAATATTTTTAATACTTCTTAATGCCACTCTTTCAGCTCTACTATGTTTTAGTATTCCTACTTATCCTACGTTTAGAATCTATTTATATTACATCTAGTTATGCAGAACTATTTGTAATTGCACAAAATATTTAAAATACTCGACAAATAGTATCTCACATATACAGTCTTCCAATTTTTATGAAACTTTCGTGCCATAGAAACGGTGGCATTACGTTAAAGCTATATTGAAACTGTAAGATTTATGTTATATATTATTACAGTAAAAGTTACCAATTACCGTTTGTATTAATTCATTCTTGTTATTTATTGATATAACTTTTCCGTGGGATTATAAGTACTTAATAACATTGAAGTGACAATTTAGATGAATAGTAATTTGAAATGATAGATTGGACTAACTATTGTTCAATAATCATGTGTGCAATGTAGATTTAAATATCATCAATAGAAACATTAAACAAATTTTTTTATTCGTATGACTTTATTTATTATACTTTTTGTAATTATATGGCAAATGATGTATAATGTGATGAATTTTTTTTTTAATAAAATATGAATAATCCCACTCATCTATATCTTTTTATTTAATAATCCTATAATTGAATTTCGCGATAAAAGTTGTGTACATAAGTACCGCGCAGAAGAAGCCTCATGGATCTTAAAATGCCTAGCCATCTAGGATGCTGTTGGGCAGTCGTGAAACTTCATCTCACGCGAGAGATTTATGCGCATGCGTCAGCTGACGTCACAGCTTGCTGCCAATGCCGTACCTAGCCGGTACACGCAGTGGTGACTGATGAGGGCACATAATGATCCTACATAATTTTTCAAAAATTTTTATAATTGCACTGTAAACTATGAATGTATAGGTTGAGTTAGATTACATTAGACTTGGTTAGCTTAGTTATGTATATGACTGTATAAAACTATACAACTATATATATAGTATATATTATATATATATATATCAGTATATATATATACTATATATATAGTATACTATATACATTTACTATATACACTATATATATTATGCTTATTATTCTTATCATTATTACGCATAGAATAGTATAGTATACTATACTATATACTATATATAGTATATATATACTATATAGTATATATATATACTATACTATATATACTATACTATACTATACTATACCATACTATACTATACTAT